CGTATCTATCAGAGGAAGACTTCTAAGATAAATTTGCCTACCTTCGTGTTAGATAAATAAAAATTTAGAAGAGAGTTGGGAAAATTCCTGATCGTTCTCTTATACGTATGAAAGTAAATAATACTCATATTTTAATCCAAAACTCAAAAGATGATAGTAAATGGAAAAAATACCTTTTCATTGTACAGTTTCCAGAAACAGCAGAACGAAAGAATAGGAAAATCATGCTTTTCGTCAAATTAATGCATAAGTACCGAAACAACAGTTATAATAAAGCACTTGAATAATTGTGAACATGTCAATTGCTATAGCATGGACTGGATTCTTTAATTATAGCAAAGTATAGTGCAGTCTGCCTACGTGGAAAGACGTCTTCGAAGAAACCTTTCAAAAGTTGGCCTGCATTCACGTTATACAGCGGAAAACCACAAAAACGCCTCTGCTACCACGGGGCTTACCAGCAGAAGTCTAGTCAAGCCACTAAACACAAGTAGTTCGACCCGGATTTATATCCTGGCAAACGGGATGGTTGCATGGGCGTGATTCGTGATTTTATCCATATGTAACGTAGATACTAGAGAGTTCTCCTCAGAAAGTCCTTTAAGAACGCCTTCCGTCCCGCAGGCATAGAGCTCTTGGGATGCTTTGCCTTAATCTAGCGTTTTTGAAACTTTTTTAAAGTAGGGACTACTTTTATAAATTAAGAATGTTCTGCGGATCCCTTTATTCTTGTCCCCTTCGAAAGCATTTTTTTATCATATGTTTATACCAGTTTTCTTATATTTAAAAAATATAATTAATTAAAAGTTATTTAATTTTAAATCGTCATTAAATTAATTAATTCAATAAGAAAAATTCTCATTCGTTTTTAATAAGCCTATTATAGTGTGGATAACCATTACCTTATTAATTAAAATAAAATAAATGTTGGCATTCAACTTTAATGAATGAGCCTGCCGATTCTTGCACAGCTATTTTATGCTTGGATGTATGCTAAGTTAACGTCCGAGATCGGTGCATAAGTCAGTTTCAGTACATGGTTTTTATTCCAGTTTGTAATGAAAATCCTTTCCGACACCTATTGTACAGTTCATTATATTCCGTTTTCACTGGTAATGAGGCCAGCGATGACAGATGTGCAAATAAACGATGATGAGGAGCATCGCAATCATAAGCGCTTTAAATGTCTTTTGCTGCTGAGTGAGAAATCCACAGAAAAGGTAAGCGGCGATAAATTTTATAAAATGTCTAAACGTTTATTTTCGAAAAAGAGTTTGTTTCTGATATGCTCCATGAAAGGTTCGAATTGCACTATTGTTTCCTCAGCTCCAAAATGTTATTAGAGCCTCTAATACTAGAATCAACGACTCGTTTTAATGTTTAGTCTGAAACTGCATTAGTCAATAGGAATACTTATGCAAGTCACAACACCCATTGTTTTGTATAATCATACTGTCGTGTAAAATCGCTATTCGTAAATTAGTATTTTTATGCTCAGTGGCATTTGGGGGGGGAGGAGAAGGAGGCTCCACTTTATTTCATAGGATTCAGAGAAACTCACTTAAATATTCCAGAATTGCTTATACAGTGAACAAATCATACCACTGGAGAGACAAACAAATCTATTTTACGTCCTTCTTGTTGGTAGTAAACGTCTAATGTTTTAAGCTTCTCTGGGATTCACCTACTCAGTAGCATTAGGAGTCTAAAATGTTTAATAAACTACTTTAAAAAATAGTAAATTCTGAAAAGCAGCGTATGTTCAAAAATGCCTAAAAGAATTATTTTTCTTTTTAAATTCAATATTCAAGGACAATAAACTTTTATCGAAATTCCAAATTAATTTATATGCGTATTTACCACTTCACGCACAATAACCTGCGCAGAATTTTAAATTTTCATACGTGAAGGTAGCGTTAAGTACCATAAAGTTTAATTTCGTATTTTCTGAGACAGAAGAAACATTTCTCTTCTGTACAAAAGTGTTGCAATAGCAGCTCTGGATCAATCTCATCTCTTTTGGATAGAATAGAAAAATACCTGATTTGACAAAACCTATGCAAAACAAATAATTTATGCTTTAATAAAGGTTGTCAAATTTAGGGCCAGCGTCGCAAGCGGTGTAACCAGGATGTCAGTATTTATAGAATTTAGGGAGACGTCGGGGGCAGAACATATAAACAGCAGTGATTGCTCCGAGCGGTAAATACTTAGCAACAGCCTTGATCAAATTCGTGACTGCAATGTCTTGGCTATTGTGAAATAGTAACACCTAGAATTCATCGAACCGAAAGCCCTCTCGAGAGGTCAATAATAAAGGAAGAAGGGCTACAAGAGTCTTGGCTTTAATTTCCCAAGCTATTTGCTCGCCGACAAAAACTGGCTGAATGTGTGAAAAATTATATTGTCACTATTTAGTATTCAAAGCAGTTTTATGGCTAATAACACGTGCAGTCATTGGCCACCAGTCATCATCCATAAAACGTCCATAACCTGGACGTTATATTACGATAACAGAGAAAGCGAATATTTGAATAATTCTTGTACAAGTTTTTTGGTATCCTATTAAATACAATTAGTTTTACCATATATAAAATACCATTTGAAAAGCCGTACATTCCAAACATAACTAACTTGAAACACAAAAACCACTAAAACGCGTAGCTACTTAACAGAAGCCTCTCGCTGGACAATTTAAATGTCCTAAAAACAGTTTAAACTATAAATATGCACACAGATCCATACTTCATAACAGAGAATGCAAAAACTCCTGCACAGAGAGATGTGCAAGTATTTTAAGAAAGGTAATGGCTTTATAATCAAGCGTATAAAAGGAGATGTAAGAAATTTGTTACGTTGCACATTGAATTGCCAATTTACCCCACAGAAAACGGAGTTAATTAAAGAGTTTTCGCGATGGTTTCACCCTTCGCTCAAAAAATCTCACCGATTTCGCTACGGTCGATAAAACTGGAATTATATACGCCTGCTCATTATGAAGCTAATAAACGCCAAAGGGCATGACGACGAACACACACGAAGAATATGGAATAAAAAATACCATACCAAAAATTAATAATAATAATAATGTTGTTGTCGGACCAGTTACCTCTTTTATATATGCCTCCTGCAGACAAAACCCACCACAAGGGCTGAAGGCTGGGTGTTGTTTTAAAGCCATAGACATAAAAGACGACGGGGGGGGGAAGAACAAGGATAACAACAGCAACAAAACTGTAACAAGTTAAGTTTTGTAATTTCATGCGGATTCGGATTTTAATTTATTCACATTGCCGCCTGTTCTTTGTTCTCATAATAAGCGAAAAGGGACAAATGACCTACGGAAGAGGACAATAAATTTTCTTAAGATCCGCTTCGAAGAAAGGTCGAGAATAGAGGGATGTGAAGAAGCTGACAGAGGAGTTGTTTCATGCGAAAGGAAGCAAGAATGAAAACAGATTTTTTTCACTGTCGAAGAACATTGGAGACGATACTAAAGCTCTATGACAAGAAAGAGTGAAACTTAGCTTATTTCAAATTTAAACTCGCAAGCATAACCAATAATATCATTTCAATTCAGTTAGCGATAAACGGGTACATCTTGTCTTCAACAATGATTAACAAATATCATTCCCCCATCCATCATTAAATAGAGTTTATTAAAATACATAACTTTTACATTAGAATAATTCCAATACGCCATTTAAATTCAATATATGTATATATACATAAATAATAATAAACTAAAAAAAGACTATAAGTAGCTTAAAGAATACAAAATTCTTAAAGCCAGCAGTTCCTAATTTCGATCAAATAAGTCGTAAAATCGAACACTGTACTTCATAAAAATCTTAAAAAATAGTATATAAATTAATATAAAATGCCTTTATACTTGATACCCACCAGCATGTTACTACGCGTAGACTTCTATACACATACACATAAATAAACTTGAAAAAATTTTTTCTTTAAGCAATTATGCTACCATTATATTGTATTTTATTACTTCGCAGATATCGTGATCCAATGAAAAAAGTAAATTCATAATTTTACAAACCTTAAGAACAAGCAATCTTTGTTTAATAAAGTAGTATCTTCCTAAAAGAATTTATATTCATTGAAGAAAATTTAATATCATATTATTTCGTCAAGGGCCATTCTAGGATGGTTAAGGGGGACATTAAGGACTTGATATGAAGATCTTAGGTCTTCACAGACACAATAATCAGTATGAATCCATATTGAAGGCAACGTTGAGAACGTCCATATCCTCTTAACCATCTTGATGAATGCGATATTGAAATTTTCCAATTTAAAGTAACTAATGGTAGATAATCAAATGCAAGTCTACGCTATTAACAAATATTTGATTCTTCTTCTCATAATAATAATAATAATATGGATAAAACAAGCAATCTCAGACTACGCTCTTGAATAGGCAGTGAGTTAAGTCACAATCAAGGTAACAGAACAACGACTATTCAAATATCACAGGCATGGTTTTAATTTTATTCAGCATATACTACGCTAAAAGTTGTGAAGTACGAATTTTCTAACAATGAATGTTTAAATCCTCGAATACCGTGAATCTTGAAAAGCATTCGAGATTTAAAAACTCGAAACCTCGTACTTTTTTCGTCATTTGAATCTTTCGAAAATCTAATTAAAAAAACACTGTTCATTATTTTATATTAAAACCTTGGAACCTGAATGCCACACTCTGTGGCGCAAAAAAATACATTTCTAAACTATCTTCAAAAACGCTAATGAGTTAAATACGTGACTAAGGAAAACTGCATATTTTTTAAAAATATAATAAAACATTGGCTGAAAATAATATGTGGAACACAACTATTATTTTTACAACTAGGCGGGTTTTAAGAATTTTTAGATATCTATTTCGAGAAAGTTTCATAAATTCTAGAAACTCCAGAGAAATTTCTAAAATTTCTACAGAATACAATACCTAGTAAAAATTTTAAGATCGCAAAATTACTTACACTTTATGTGCCGCAGACGGTCCAGACAAAATGAGATTCCGATCAGTCGGAGGAACTGTAAAGACAAAACAATTAATATTCGAAATTCTAAATTAAATAATGCACTGGTACAAATAAGCAATAAAGAAGATGATTTTCTTTCATGTACATTAATTTTAATTTATAGTTTTTGGTCAGTAGTTCTAAAAACCTAAAAATTTCGAAACGTTTATGTTTATAAAATTGAGATTTCTCAGCTGTTTCTTCCTCATGTAAGGATTACAGCACTATAAAAACCAAAATCATCGAAATATCGACATATTTAGCCTGCAAATGCACATCCTGGTTCCCCGAAAATACAATGCATTACATAATATTTGAAAATGCATGAAAAATGTAAAAGCATACTTTATGAAAATAACAGTCAAATGAATAAAAACGTATATAAATTTAGAGATTTAGACAAATAGATCGAAGAGAATAACTTAATTATGGCAAAGTACATTTGGGCCATCATATTCAGGAAAGGCACGCCTGAGAGAAACCAACCCAGCTTTTACGTCATCTAATATGCAACATTGTGAAAATCGATACAGATTGAAAGAATAGATTAAATGTCAAATTTGAATAAAAAAAGGTCGAAATTGTGGATGGTTGCAAATAAAAAAGATGGTACTGTACTTAACCTAATTATTCTAAAAATAAACAAGTACAGTAGATTCCCTGTTATTCGATCTCACTTTAATAGCCTACATTTTTGTTCAAGATGTTTTTCTGTGAATAAAATTCCTGTTGCCAGTTACAGAAAAATATGCATTACACTTGAAAAACAACGTATTACTTAGAGCAGCACTTCTCGACATTTTGATATTTCTCGAGCTTATACTTCAATTTCTGCTGTTATTACTAATTCTTCTGACTCAGCTTCAGCAAGATCAAGTCGACGAATTTACCGTGGCCAACGGGCAAGCAGTAGCACCTATGATTAGTATTAGGCTTTGGACACCTTATAAGTGATAATACGAGTTTTAATGCAGAACCCCCGATGGACGTATCCAACGATTTTGTTTGCCCCCGTTTCTCTTCCAAAAACTTATCAACAGGACATTCAGCTTAACTGTATATGGTTTGGGTTAAATTATTTGGATTATAGAAAGGCACAAGAAAGCTATCTGCCTAAAGTGGCTTTGTAGAGGATTTTGTACGGAGAATATTTTAAGTGCCCACATGCTGCAGAGACATTATACACTTAGAAACATCCAAACTTTCTCCAAGATTCCAGCCCACCCTATGCACCCAAAGCTACGACATCCGGCTCCGGCATCCTTAACACTATGTCAACAGAAGGCACCCTTCAGTTGCGGTTGTTAATTGTGGCTTTGGGACTACAGAAGCTACGTATGTATGTTTTTTCATTAATTAGTGGGGCTAATTTTTATTGTAACTCAAATGAAGTGTACTGCTTTCATTTACTATAATATACTGTCCTGGTATAATAAAATCTCTACATACAGTCATGCCTCCGAAACTGATAGACGAGAAAAATATGAAGAATTCAGAAGAAAACAGTAGCAAGCACAGGAAAGAATAGACTGTTAATTTATTACACGCATAGTGAAATCTAAGAGTGTTTCCACTCGGTATAACATGAGATCTTTATTTTATCTTTCACATTTAATCTGCGTATTATTCGTTAACCAAATGAGCAACGAGCAACTTGAAAGCAGTAAGAACATTTCTTACTAACTTAAATGTTTAATTTAGTTGCACCTAATTGATATAAATTAAAATACATTTACCTTATAATATATCTAACTAAAAATTTTTATGAACATTTATACTTTTGTTCGTAATTAATAAATTAAATGTCTAGCGCCAGATGCCTGGTGCAGAAATGTTTTTAAAAAAATTTTTATAACGATTTTTATTTCCTTTTTAAATAGTTTAAAAAACTTTTAAGGGTAAACCCTTCTATGAAATATTCAACTGCAGTCTAAATCCTTCAGGCATGAAATTTTATTTATATATTTCATTTGAAATGGTAAACCCGAAGAAAAACAAACGAAAATACTAATTACTATAACGAGGATAAAAAAAGTTCGCATGCATTCATAATGCAGTATCTGTAAATCCAGTAAATCAGGTATATAAACCATTACATATAGCTTTGATACGAAATTTTTTTTATCTCACTGAACACATGTTTAATTAAAATTTATATAGACACGAATATTTACTTTTTAATATAAATTAATCTGAGTAGCGATTTTCATCGCATACTCATCTGAAGAGAGCGGGGAAGCCGCAATCATCCCTCGAACATCATTGAAAGGGACAGGTATCGAGGTGGCGGTGTTCTCGTTTGGGGAGGCATCATGCTTGGTAGTCGTATAGAGCTTTACATCTTCGACGCAGGTTCAGTCAACGGGACTCCTTATTGTAACGAGATTCTTCTTCCATGTGTGCGTCTTTTTAGAGGCGCTATGGGTCCGCAGTTCCTTTTCATGGACGACAATGCACCATGTCATCGCACAGTAGCTGCCGAACAGCTCTTAGAGAGTGAGGATATTGAACGTATGGATTGGCCGGCACGATCTCCGGATCTCAATCCCATCGAGCATGTATGGGATTTTCTAGGCAGACGCTTGGCAGCTTCGTACCTTACCACCAGTAACGATTCCGGAGCTTCGATTGGCGCTGCAAGACGAATGGGCAGCAATGTCTCAACAACTCATTGACACCCTCATTCTCAGCATGGGCAGACGCTGTGAAACCTGCCTAGCAGTCAGGGGAGATCATATCCCCTATTAAAGACCGGATGTTTCTTGCTGGACACCCATCACAGGGATGTTTCGGCCTTCAGTCGCATTGCGCTCCATGCTACTTTTTCAATAAAGCTTCTTTTTATCCCTCTGATTTCTCTTTTAGTAAGTGTTGCTTACATTACTCATGTCCTTACGTATTGGGGATCTTACGGTATTAAATGTGTTGATTTGGTTTTGGAAATATGTTGATTTGGAAAGCTTTTGTTCAAAGTTATATTGAAAAAACCGTCTCGTCCTTAATTTTTGCACACCAGTGTAAATTCATATGTGTATGCACTGTATTTCATTTATAAAAGTCCGGACACACTTTTATTAAGCAATAGTAACTCCATAGGCCGAAATTTCAGTAGTATGCAATTTACAGTGCTCAACTATTCAATGCCAATATTTCTTAGTTAACCAAATTCACCCCGTAGCTTAATCCATCAACTATGTTCAACTTTGCAGTTTCTGAATAATTCAGCATCACACAAGCATTTCTGCGTGAATAATCTAGTTTTAAGGAACTAACTCCTGAATCGGAACAATTGATTCATGAATAACATTCGCTAAGATCTTGCGCCTATTTCATCCCATTTTCCCATCAACACTTGAAAGAGAGCCAAGCACCCTAGTTATCGGTCCGGGGCATTAAATAAATCCAGAACACGGTTTCTTATCTCTTATCGATAAGCCGGCCTTCCCTGTTACCCCAAGCATCATTAACCCAGGCATATAGCATTACGTCGAGAAAATTAAATAATGAGTCTGCAGCTAATAGAATCACTGCGGTCATTTAAAAGGCCTTAATTAGGAAGGCCCTGGAGGCTTCCCTTATTTCCTAAAAGTTCCTCTCTCGCTCTCTTCAGCGATCTAATTGAATTTATTTAGGAGGAAACCTCTTTTAACAGAGGGTAAGCTGGCTCTGTGTCCCTCTCGCCACGCTGACAGTAAACGACGTTTGTTTTGCTTCCTTCAGACGAGTTTGCTGGAAAATGTCAGATTGTTTAAAATAAGGGAGGGAAGCTCTGGAGCGGCGTTATTGTTCTTTTCCACTGATGCAGAGGATGACTGTTCAAAAGGTTTCTGGTGTTTTGTGAAAAGATTTTAATGACTTCTGGTGTGAATTTCGGCATGGAATTAAAAAGAAGTTGGTGTTTAATCACTAGTTACTGACGTCCGTACTTAATTTAGGCAAAAGATTTAAATAATTTGCTGGGAAAAAATGGAAATCGTAGCAAAATTAATAAAATTCGCAATCCTAATTACTAGGATCGTAATCGATGACCTTACAATATCTCTATTATCATGAATGTATTAAGCTGCACTACCACTTATAGAAATATGCCGATTACACGAACCTGGAGAGGACTGGCCTAGTCCAAATAATTGAAAAATTCAGATAAAAGGCCAACTATTATAACTCGATAATATCTTTTTTTGGTAAACTTCAGGTATTGGAAAAGATCAATTTGCTTATAGACGCCGAAGGATAATCTGGTAATAGATTAATGGCAGGGTTACCAACAGACGAGCGGCTAAAGAACAATGAATACTGGTAGTTCGGCCCAGGTTCGAGTCCAGGCGAATTGTCTGGCTGTATAGTTCGTTTTCGTGTTTTTCACCATGTGTAACATGAATGTGAGCTAGTTTCCTTCAGAAAGTCTTCGAAGAAAGCATCCATTGTGTTCTTCCATATTCAAACAAACGATCAACTTTAAAAATTAACTTTCGGAAGAAATGAATTCGAAATAATTATGGTGAATTTGGATCATGGCAAGACAAGCGAAAGCTGTCTCCTTGCGGGACGGATGCTTTTGTGGAGAAGTTTTAGGAAAACTGGCTTAACCACGAAAACTCATTCGCCGGGATTTGAAACGGGTTTAAGCTATCACTGTTCAATGGTTTTATTGGTCGGGCACCAGCGGATTCTAGAAAATTACGCTTTTGCTTTGCTTTTAATATGATCTTAGAAGATAACTAGAAAGGTTTCCTTCTCATTTGAATATAACAATTGACAGCTTTTCAATTTTATTAATTTAACGTTGATTTATGATTGAATGAGTTATCACATTTATCTATCACTAATATATTCATGAAAATGTGATTACTTTGTAAAAACTCTTTGAATTTTCATTTTGCTTCACAGAATATGCCTGCAGGCCCCATGCGGCTCGGAATGTAATTATTTTTTGGCACAGCTGTCTAATTGAAACTAATCATAAGAGGAATACGGATTACAAGTAATTTCTCTTAAGGTTAAATTA